GTTGAAAATTGCTGACTTAGAGTGTTATAAGGTTCCAGAGAGCCTGTGGCTAGGATGGAAAATTATTAGCTAGAGTGAATATATGCATTGGTTTGTGGGACTGAACCAGTATATGCTAGTGAACCCGGTATATGCATTAAAAATTGTTCCCCTTTCACTCTTGAAAAAAAATTTTTTTTTAATTGATTTCAGAGAGGAAGGGAGAGGGAGAGAGAGAGATAGAAACATCAATTGTGAGAGGGAATAATTGATCGGCTGCCTCCTGCACACGCCAGTGTGCTGGGATGGAGCCTGCAACCTGGGCCTGTGCCCTGACTGGGAATGGAAATGTGACCTCCTGATTCATAGGTCGATGTTCAACCACTGAGCCTTGCCAGCTGGGCCCCTTTCACTCTTAAAAGTGTCCCAGCTCAGACACTATTTCACAGGGTCATCCTACCATCAGCCAACATGGGGAGGCCTTGAGGAGAGTGAAGATAGGAGCTGCTGTTTACACCCCTGGAGCCTGGCAGGAGGTGAGAAGGGTTAAATCAAAGCAAAAGCTTGGGGAAAAGGCCTGGTCTGGTCCATCCCGGGCCCACCTCTCCTCCCCCAGTTCCACCAGCTGCTCCTTCCTTGAACCTGGCCTCCCAGGGCAGGCCAGGGGCTCCCCGGACCCAGGAGGAAGGAGCCCCTTGGCCGTGAGTGAGAAGGGAAGTAGCATTCACCCAGCCCTACTGTGTGTATTAGATGAACTCGTATCCAATATTGATTTTCAACTCTTTCTAGCAGCCTGGGAGGACAGGTTTGTGCAGCCCCATTTGGCACCTGAGGACACCGTCTCAGAGGAGTGATGTCACTGAATCTCTGAGTTCTGAGATAAAACAAGGGGATCATGGGCTGTGCCTGAGGAGCCCAAGGAGGCCCAGCCAGTACCCTTCTTCCCCCCTCCCTGGAGGCAGCTTTACTGAACCACCCCCTCCCATTGGCACCCTGGTTTCATTAGACCCCATGGAAGGCACAGAGAACCATAGGAACAGGAAACAGTAGCAAGGCATTAGCTCCAGAGCCTCTTATGGCCCCTTCCCAGCAGCACCTGCTCTCCCTAGGCCTAGATCCAGCCCTGGAGGGAGCCAGCCCTGGGGGACCGGGAAGGAACAGGGCCGGGGCTTCAGCCTTCCTGAAGCAAACGCATCGCAGGGTGACTCCTGAGCATCAGCCGTAGTCACTGGGCGCACATGGTCCTGGGCCACACCTTTCATATGGGGAAACTGAGGCCCAGAAGAGGTAGGACTTTGCAAAATCACTCTGTGGAGTAGAGGCAGGGTGAGGCCTGGAATCTAGGAGTCCGACCCCACCCAGGCTGGGTCCTCACATCACACCTTCCTGCCGTCCTCTCCCCACCACAGCTGCTGTGGGGGAAATCTGTACTTTATAAAACAAACGAAAACCCAGCATCGGAAGACAGGGTCCACATAAGTCAATCTACCCACTGAAGCCCCGGTTTTATGATCATACAACTGACCATGCAGTCAGCTACCAAGCACGGTGGACCATTGCTACCATCCCAGAGGAAGTCCGGGTACTACCTGGCAAAGGAACTATTTAGGAAACCAAACCGGGGAATACTCAATCTATCTCCCCCCCCCCCCCCCCCCTCTCTTCTGGTCTCACATCAAAAGAGAGATGGAGATGTGTGCTAATTTAAGGAAAGTGCCAGATGAAAATGCACTTCCTGTTATTATATAGGGAGATATTTTTAAATGCATATAAATAAACATTTTTAATTTGCTTTAATGTTCAGGCTTTATAGCTGTAGAGCATGTGTTTTGTTATACCCGTGGATCCAGATTGCTAGCCCATCTGGTGTGGTTCCGAGGAAGTGGTTCTGGAGCAGCCAGGCTAGGAGAGGCTTGCCCTCCAACGCTGCCCTGTCCCAGGCCTGCTGGGCCCCAGGCTCTGCATCCCATTAGCTGGGCCTCTCAGCCACCCAGAGCCAGGCTGGTTTTCTTGGAGCCTCACAGTCCTCTGTCCCCCCATTGTAACCTGTTACACACACACACACACACACACACACACACCCGGGCTGCTGGAGACTTCCCGTGTGAGAACACTCCACTCCCAGCCCTGAGCTGGGTCCTTCCTGGGGCTGGGCTGTGACCCTCTCTGCTCAGCCCACACCAATCTCCGGGCAGTCAGTGATGGCCTCCACTAGACTGATGTTCTCAGCATGGCATGAAGGGTCTAGAAGGGAAATCGTGGTGCTGATGGGCATGTTTCTGGGTCAGTAGAGGCTGTGACCAGGCCCACGGCCTTCAGGCGAGGCCAGATCTGACTTTTGTCTGGACCCCGGGTCTCCAGTATCAATGAGCCTGCCAACCAGCTGGAACATCCCTCAGCACTGGGGTCTATGAGGACATGAGGGGGTCCCTTTCCTGAGTCTTACAACACCTGGTGGAACTCTCCAGGCGACAGGGAACTCACTGCCTCACAAGCCAGCCCATGGCACAGCTTGGAAGTTGTTTTAGAGAAGTTTCCTTTCTCACAGCATTCACCCCACTTGACAGGTGATCGCCAACCCAACCTGAGGGCCCCACCCAACCCCTGGTCTCCCATGTAGGTAGCAGCTGCAGTCTCCCAGCCTGCCAGGCCGGGCCACTGACCTCCTGCCAGGAAGGTCTTCCGGTAGCTGGGGACAGGCTCGTCCCGCCTCAGATCTTCCCAGCCACCATCTGTCCTCAGCATTGGGGGTGGGGTAGTTAAAACATCAGTCAGGCCTGGCAGCCTGTCACACGGGGATGCAACAGCTCTATGAGCAGGTGGCAGAAACCCAGAACTTACTATGTGCTGGGCCCTGTTCGGAGATAGGTTAGAGTATTTTTTTCCCCCCTCCATTTGACAAATGAGGAGGCTGTGGCTCAGAGAAGCTAAGTAACCTACCTGAACTCTCACAGCTTGGACGTAGTTAGGCTGGAGCCCAGGGCACCTGACAAAACCTGCTACTAAACACTGAGTCACAGCTCAAGTGTGGCCCTCCAGCCCACAGAACCCCCACTGCAGAGCGCAGGGTGTCCAGTGGGGTGCCGGCAAGTGCTAGTAGGGGGCTCCTGGGTAGTGAAGCATGGGGAATGCTGGACTAAAGAAGATCCAAGGGGTGTCTTTGCTGTGGGACTTGTCAGAGCCTTTGCTGTGCTGATGCACCACCGTGACTCTCCCAGACGGGGCGAGTCTGTAGGACTTTCCGAACTTACTTGACCAGAGCCATTTGTTTTTGGTCAACCAGCTCCCCAGTTTTAGATGAGGCACAAGGCCCAGAGAAGGGAAGTAGTTACCTCAGGTCACACAGCAAATGTTTTTGATGATCAGAAAACTATATTCACTGCCAGCCACGCTCCCACCAACCCTCTTCTGCTCCTGGGACCCTGGTCCTTTCCCTGGTACACCTGGTTCCTGTGCTTTAGATGCCCAGCACCTTCAGTGAGGCCGCCTCTCCCACACCACCACCAGGAGGAGAGAGAGGAGTGCCTGCTGCCTTGCAGGGGCTTGTGTGTGGGAGGGATCCACCCCGTGCCTTGTTGTCATGTGCCCCAGGAGCAAAGGGCAGGCTGTGCACACCTTTTATGGCTGGGCCACCTCCCAGAACAGTAAACAGAGGGGCAGGCAGCTGGCACTGGAGCCCTCCAGGTAGCAGACTCCTGGCCACCTCTGAAAGGGAGTTGAGAACAGCAGCTTTTCTCAGGAGTTTAAAAAATTATACATTACGTTCATACAACTCAGATTCTTTATTATCATTCCTCCCTTCTTGGCCTGACAGCACCCACTAGTCCTTTAGGCACCTGTTCAGACCTCACCTCCTCCAGGAAGCCTTCCGGGCCCTCCAGGAGAAGCGCAGTCCCTGAATGCTCTGCTCTCTGAGGCCCAGAGCATACTCAGACTGGGGACTTCTGGGGGGCACAACCATGCCTGGCACGTGCGGGTGCCCAGTGAATTTTGTAAAATCCTGAGCTGAAAGTGTCTGAAAAATTCAAAAGACTGCTCTATTGAGTCTGATGATTCTGCTTACAAAACGGACTTAAAATTTTACAGGGTCTCAAAGACTTACTCTAACAATGTCATGTTTTAATCGTTCAAATGCATTTTAAAGGTGACCTTGTTGTAGGCCGACGGAGGCTGTAAGGTAAGGGCTTATGCAATTGTCAGGAAAGGGGGAGGATGATTTAGACTTAACATTTCCTTTAATGCTACGTAAAATGATTTTTATACACCTTTAAAAAGAGGAAAAAAGTTTATTCTTGAAGCTGTATCCAAGAGGTTCCACTCTATGTACAACACTTGCCCAGCTGTGAGCTCTACTTGGTCCAGAGAAGTCCTCTGAGGGCCCAGGGGCAGCCTGGTGAGGTGGGACTTGGCAGGGAGGGCTCTGACCTCTGTCCCCCTTCAAGGGCCTCCCCCACCCTGGAGCCCCATTGAGAATACTAGTGAGGGGACAAGGCTCTGCAACCCGGAGGGGACAGTCATCAAAGCCTCTCGGGCCCATTCCTGTGGGCTTTTGCTCTGCGTCAGCCTGGAGAGGTTCAGGGTGTGTTAGGATGGGGGCAGGTGGAGGCGAGGCTGCAGGACCAGGCAGGTGGGAGCTGATCACATTCCTCCCCACAGGCCAACATTCCATCTTCCCTCAGCTCCATCTCCTTTCTCCAGGATCAGTCTAGTCCCTATAGCAGCCTTCTGCCCTTGAACCTACGGAGAAGGAGATAGGGATGGGGACTTATCTTGACTCCCTCACCCAGCCCTCTAGGGATGGAGACCTCCCACCCTGGGTTCCTTTATCCCCCTGAGGCCTAGAAAAGGAAAATGTCCTTATCCAAAGAGCTCGCTGCACAGATTGGCCAAGGGCACACAGGGGCTGGGTGGGTGACTTGTCCAAGGTGACTCAGAAGGTCAGTGACAGGGCTGGGACTCAGACCAGGCCTCCTGAGCCCCAACGGGAGCCACATTTCCAGCATCTGAGTCCCCAGGCCCCCAGCCCACAAGGCTGGGCAGGGGGCTAAGGCAGATACTCCTCCTTGACAGGCATTGGGGAGGAGGCGCCCAGGAGGCTAGCGGAGCTGGGGCACAGGCCCCCCAGGGGCGGCCCAGCGGCAGTGGGGGTGACTTCGTGGGCTGGCAGTGGTGGCTGTGGGGGCTGCTGCTGCTGCTGCTGCTGCTGCTGCTGCTGCTGCTGCTGTTTCTTCTTGTTCACTTTGCGCTCCTTTGCCCTCCGGTTTTGGAACCAGATCTTCACCTGTGGTTGGAGAACAGAGGTGGGTGGTGCGGAGACCCGGTGACAGTGAGAGGAAGGGAGGGAGGACAGCTGAGCTCTCACTTCTTGATGTGGCGTTTGTGGCCTCCCTCCTGCTCCCGACACCCAGACCATTCGTGGACCCTGAACACATTCTCCTTTCTAAAACGTGCTCCCCTACTCTCATGACAAGCTTTCCTGTAGCCTTCTTCTTCCCCATCTCCCAAGGCCATACTCTAACACCCCTCCTCCAGGAAGCCCTCCCTGTTCTGCCTGTGACTACTCCCTTGTCTGGATTTAAACAGCACTGATCATAGCCAGCTTTGGTCTATAGCTAATCAGGTCCCCTATTTCCCTATTGGGAGTTAGGGATATTGGGTTTTGTTGAGGCAGGAGAGGATTTGGCAGTGGCTCAGTGTCTGCTGTGCTGTGTGACCATGGTCAGGAGGCTCAACCTCTCTGTTCTCCTCCTTTGACTGAGCTCCGTAATCTGCCTGACAGCCTGGAGGCCAGACTCCCAGTGCTGCTCCTGTGGCTGAGGTGGGGGTCCCACACACCTGCCGTTCAGTTAGCCCCAGGTTGGCAGCCAGCTCCGATTTCCGCCGGATGGTGATATAACGGCTGTAGTGGAACTCCTTTTCCAGCTCCAGGCGCTGGTGGTCGGTGTAGACCACGCGGTACTTGTCTTTGGTCCGGGTCTTTCCTGAGAAGCAGAGGGATCAGGAGCGGAGGTGAGTGTGGAGGGGCAGCCTGCAAAAGGCCCAGGCAGGGTCCCCAGCCCTTAGAAGAAGGACCCTGAGGTGGGGAGGGAGGTACACCCCAGCCCTGGGGGTGACAATCATTCCCCCCAGGCTCAGGCTTGAAGACTTCCTGAGAGGCAAGCACTTTGGGGAGGCGCTGAGGCACAAAGAGGGGAAACAACTCTCTCGGGGTTACACAGCAAGCTGCTGGTGGGGGTGGGTTTCAATCCTGGTCTGCTGACCCAGAGCCCTGCTCTGATCACCAGCTCCTCCAGCTTTAACCCAGCAGCTTTGGGCGTGGCTGCATGACAGGAAGTCCGGGAGCCTGCAGAAAGCAGCTTCCAGGGCTTCCCTGACCATGTGAGTCAGAAAGCCTGGGCGTACAATCTGCATTTTTAATATGTTCCCCAGGTGGTTCCATTCTAGGTCCTCAGACCACAGGTGTGAACACCAGTGAGATGGAGGGACATCTGGCAGGCAAAGGCAGGTGGAGGCTAATGATGGCAGCTGTTCCTTTCTCCTGTGCAGAGGAGAACAGGGAAGAGCCACTGTAGGCAGGGCGGATGCTTGCTGGACTGTCCTGGGTGTATGGCACCTCGATTCCTGTTGAGCGTGGCTGCTGGTGACCCTTGAGGACCTAGAAGTTACCTTAAGAGGCCCTAGCCCTGCCCAGCCAGCGTGGCTCAGTGGTTGAGCATCAACCTATGAACCAGGAGGTCACGGTTCAATTGGCCAGGTTGCCGGCTTGATCCTCAATGCGGGGTGTGCATGAGATACCAATCAAATGATTCTCTCTCATCATTGATGTTTCTATCTCTCTCTCCCTCTTCCTTCCTCTCTGAAATTAATAAAAATATATATTTTTTAAAAAGAGGCCCTAGCCCTGAACACCAAGCCCTGAGCTAGGGGTGAATAGGGGCTGATCTTCCTGAAGCCATCCACCCTTCTGCCTGTGCCCGGGCATAGAGCAGGAATGACTGCTCAGCTCACAAGTACTTACTGAGCACCTGCTGTGAGCCAGGCACTGGGGTACATCAGGAAAAGCAAAACTGAAAGATTCAGGGCTCCAGGCAGAGTGAACAGCAAGTGCAAAGGCCCTGAGGCAGAAACATGCCTGACATCTGACGTGTGTAAGAAACAGTGAGGCGTGGCTGGAATGCACTGAGGAAGGGCGGAGGGGTGGCTGCCCAGAGCCTTACAGGCCATTGAAAGGACTCCGGGTTTTCCTCTGTCTGGGATGGGAACCATTGCAGGGTTCTGAGCCGAGGAGACACGAGGTCTGAAGTACGTTTCAATAGCTGCTGCATGGAGAACAGATTGGCAAGAAGAAGCAGGAAGCACAGAGAGACCTGCAATAACGCAGGAGAGAGAAGGCGGTGGATTGGCTTCTACATGGGACTCAGCCTGGGGCCAGGAACTGGATAGGAGGACTGACTGGGGTTAATGTCGGGGCTTATTTTGGGGCTGGGATCAGAGGTCTGTCTGGAGAGAATATTAAGAGTCATGCTTGGCCTGGGCTGGTGTGGAGGCCTGACTAAACATGAGTTTTCTTTGTAAAAAGCTGAGCACATGGCTATAAATAGGAGGCACATGCAAGCACTCAGACCTACACATGCGTCCCACCAGGGCATGGTGGGTCTCTGAATCCCCATCAATCCCCCCCTCCCTCACCCAAGTGCCCCCATAACATCCCAGCCTTCACCTCTGTCTGGGTCACAGCTCTGGTCTCCCCTGTCCTTCAGCACCCCTGTCCTAACTACCCCATACCCCGATCCAGGCCCCACCCCCTCCACCAAGCCCACGCAACTTGGCAGGACAGCACTGGGCTCCTCCAGAGCCAAATGGTTTTGTGGAGAATGGGAGACAACAGATATTACTGGGCTCTTTTCCCTGGTTTCCTGCCAGAGCAGCGGAACCGCGCTGGACGCTCCCATATCCACTGCCCTCAGCTCCCTGCCCGACGCAGCACGGGACAGCCTCGGCTCGCCGCCCGGCCTGGCCCAGGAAAGGGACAAGGGAGTGGCTGCTAAGGCTTTGGTCCAGATGGAGCCCCTCCTCGGCCTAGAAAATTCAACGCCAGCTCAAAGTCAGTTCCGCCTAATGCCACCACCCCCAGAGCCCAGAGCTCTGCACCCACAGCCCACTGGGCTCGCTGGGCTAAACCCAGAAGGGGTCATGGGAGTTTCGTCTCCTCCCGTCTTATAAATGAAGAGACCACAGTTCAGGATGGTTATACAGCTGCCAGAGATCAAAATAAGAGAGGCCTGGTGGGTCCTTCCAGTCCAGCCTCCCTGTGTGGTCAGGGTCACTGAAGGCCCTGGCAGTCGGACTCGCCCAAGACCACGTCCCGCGGCCTAGAGCTCTCGCTCTCCCTTCTCATTCATGACTCCCCACCCACCAGGTTTAGGGGCTGCAGAACTCGCCATGGAGCCCACCTAAGCATTGACAGCAGAAGCTCAAACAGCAGACCACCCATCTACTTGTACTTCTGGGAAAGGAGGGGCCAGTCTGTAGTGAGGGCAGACCCCATGAGAGCCATGGGCTGCAGCCGGAGGGTCCAAAGGCTGGGGTCCTTGGAAATGCCCAGAAGACTCACAGCCTGAGGTGGGGAATGAGGCTCCCTGCCCACCCAAACCTCAGCCTGAGATTCCAAGCAGTGGTTATGCAGTTACCTGTCCCCAAAGACACCCAGCTCTCACTCCCATCCTTTCTCATGAGCAAGCAGGGAACCATTATACCCATTTCATAGATGAGGGAAATTGAGGCTTAAAAAGGGGCCCTTGCTTAGGGCTATTCTGCCTGGTAGTGGTATGAACCCAGGCTCAGGTGTCCTGACCTCTAGCCCAGCTCTTCCCAGAGTCCAGGTTGGGGGTAGGGGGTGAGGCCAGTTGGGAGGTAGGACTCTATCTGCATAATTAGTCCTCTCTGTTCTAGCAAGGCTGCCAGTGAAGACACAGCCCATAGACCTGGTCTTCCCCGTCCCCCTTCCCCCTCTGGGCCCAGGAGAGGGGCTGGTGGGCTCAGGAACCTATTGACCAACTTCTATTGATAGAGCTGCTCAAAACACAGAGTTTAGAAAATGGCTCTGCTAAAGAACAAAATGTTTGCTGTCACACCATGTGGTCCAGGAGCCAGGGAGTCCCACAGGAGCCCAGCTCGGTGATGTGTAGCCTCATTGAGCATCACATACCGCTTACCCAATCATCCCACCTCCAGGAGCGGATCCCACAGAGAAATGTCCAAAGCTGTAGCTGTTTGAAGCGATGTGAGACTAAAATCACTGTACATGCTACAGGTAGGGAACATGTTAAATAAAAGATGGCACATCCATGGAGACGAGCTTTATGCAATCATTCGGAAGAGACTGTAAAGCTCCATCTGTACCAACATGGAGCAACGCCTAAGATATTTTGTTGAGTAAAAATAAAAGCAAGATATTGAATGCTGTGAATAATGTTACTGGTTTTGTATAAAAATGGGGACACACACACTCACATATACCCCATCACATGTTTGTGCACCCATAGGGTTCTTTCTGAAAGAATACACAAGAAGCCATTAGCAGGAGCTGCCTCTGGAGAGAGAACTGGGGAGCCCCAGGTAGGAGGGAGTTTTAGGGGTGCTTAAATTTTTACCATGTGCAGATGTGAACTTGTTTTTAATGACAGGATCCCTGGGCTTCAGTTACAGTTCTGGGCCAGAACTCCCGAATGCCCGAAGCTACCCTCACTCCCTCCCCCCTCCTAGGAGCACCTGTGCCACCCTGAAGCCCAGGAGGGAGGGAGCAGGGAGGTGCGTGAGAGTGGCGAGGCGGGGAGAGGGCCCAGGATCAATGATTTACAGGCCGCTGGGGTGCTGGGGCTGAGGGGGAAGTCCAGGCTCCAGTAACAGGTGTCTGATGGGGGCCTCCGCGCCCAGCCACCTAATAAATAACTCTCTGGGCCAGATGCCAGTGTGAGTGGGCAGGGGGAGAGTGGGGAGCCCCCAGATCTTCAGGGGTGAGCATGGCAGGGAGAGCATTGGGTAACTCACCCAACTGCGAGGCTCTCTCTCTGCTCTGGCTTTGGGACTTGAGGAAAGGCCACCCATGTGCACCAGACCACCGTGGAGGTCAAGTTCCCCATCCCCTCAGTGTGCACAGCAGAGGCCCTGGAAGATACAGGCTAATGGCACAAACGCCTGGCCAACAGCCTCAGAACTGGCTGGGAGCTTGTTAGAAAGCACAGATTCTAGCCCAGACATTCAGACCCAGTGGGGTTGAAATAGGGCTCAGGGATCTGATAGTTGAAGAGCTCTCTGGTGACCCTGACACGTGGCTGTGCAGTACAGCTTCTCACTGGCTGGGTGACCCACAACAGTCACCCCACCTCTCTGAGCCTTATTTTCTTTACTATAAAGTGGGGATAATTATTATTCTAATAAGGGCCAACATGTCCATGGGTCAGGCAGCTTGTATATGCCTCTCAACAACCTATGAAGTTGTGCAACTATTATCCCTATTTTATAGACGGGGAAACTGAGGCTCAGAGAAGTCCACACATCTGGCAGGTGGGATTTAAACCCAGGTCTGTCCAGCCTCAGATCAGCACTAGCCCCTACCACAAAGTGTAAGTTCTCCTGTAACCACCCAACCATAGTATGTCCAGGGGATCACTGGAGATGGATGGAGGACGCCTCGCACAGTCCCTGGCATGCAATGGGTGTGTGGGGAAGGGTAGATCGCATTCATTTCCAATAGTGGCAGGACAACCATATGGCAGGAATGTTGGGGAATGATTTGTGCAATGGGTGGTGTGTTAGACGAGACTGTTTATTTATAAGGTCCCTTCCAACTTGGAAACGCGAAGCTCCCAATGTTTGTTGATTCTCTGATTGTGTTTGTTATTGTTGCTGAAAGAATTCTAAGACTGATTTCCCTGTCTGAGAGTCTAGATGCGGAGCCTGCCCAGCTGGAGGACAGGGG